CGTTTTGATGTTACGATATTTTTTGGAGATTGATAGAAACACCCGTCTTTAATCTAGACATAGAGTAATCTAGATTAGTAGGTTGTTATTTATCTTCTCAGTAGTTGGATTGTAAACGCTATACTATTACCTGTGTTGGGTGAATTTTATATCAAGATTCTGGCTCTCATCATTATTTGCGGTTTAAATATATTTTTCTCTTAGGGTGTTATAAGTTGGTATCAAAGCAATAGCTTAAGCGAACTAGGTAAGGGGCTAAGATGCCTAGACTTAAGCTGAGATTGTGAACATTAATTTGTGAGTTATGGGTAGGAACCCTAACATAGGAGAGCCTTAGAGTCAACGGAGATTCATGATTCATGAACTGCGACGACGAGATTGAGGACCCTTATGTATAACCTATTCAAAATTTCATTTAGCTAATGCTATTTTGAGTATGTTGTTACATAAGCGTGCTCGAACTTACTATTATTGCAAAGATTTATGAATGCGTTGATCATAGAGATAGCAAATGGTAGTCAGATTTTGGTACGTGAGATTGTTAGAAGTGCGTATTGGGAGTTGAAAGGAAGGAATTTTGGGTAGATCTCATACCCATGACTATAGGCGGATTCGATGTCATTATCGGGATGGATTGGTTGGTAGAGAACCAAGCGGAAAATTTTATGCTCTAAAAAGTTGATCCGAGTCCCTTGCCGGATGGGGATGCAGTGATTGCCTGAGTTCTTCAACATCACACACGGGATTATCCAGATGCCTAAATAATAGAGGCTTAGTGTGGTAGTGCCACTCTATAGGAACAAAGGTAAAACGCAAATGGTAGAACATACTGGGCTTCTTTGGTTACCTGAAATTCGAGAGGTGGCAATTTAAGATTTGCAGCAGCCTCAATCTACTGTCGACACTAACCAAAGGAAATGCAAATGTGAGGAATCAGCATTTGTGGTTCACCTTGTTCAATAATCAAAACTTATGTTACAACCTGAGTAGCTACTCAAATTGAACATGACTTATATAACAAATGATAGAAGCTTCAATTTGATACCCCAGCGAAGTAGGCTGGTAACGGAACTTGATGAGATGCTTATGCATCAATGGTTTAACCTCTGTATGACCATGACATAACCGCCACCAAATTGATTGGAAGAAGAGTAAGTGATGAAGTTGTTCAGGAAGACATTAAGTTGTGGCCTTTGAAATGGTGGCTGGAAGTGGCGATATGCCAAAGATTGTAGTAAAATACAATGATGAAAAGAAGGATTTTTTTTTCTGCTGAAGCGATATCTTCCATGATTTTTTTATGAAAATGAAAGGGGTTGCTCAGACATTTCCTGGTTCGACTGTTGAAAAGACGGCGATTACTGTTCCAACTTATTTCAATGATTCTCAACGACAATCAACAAAGGATGCTGCAGGACTTGAAGTTCTACGCATGATTAATGAACCTACAGTAGCTGCTATAGCTTATGCTCTAGACAAGAGGGCTAGCACAGATGGCAAGAGGAATGTACTAGTGTTTGACCTGGGTGGTGGCACCTTCGATGTCTCCCTTCTCACCATTGATAAAGGGGGAGTCATCAAGATTAAAGCCACAGGTGGTGACACACATCTAGGAGGCGAGAATTTTGATAACAGAATGGTTAGTCATCTTGTCTGAGAATTCAAGAGAAAGCACAGAGAAGATCTTAGTGGTAACCGTAAAGCTTTGGCCAAGTTGAGGGTTCATTGTGAGAGGGCAAAGAGGATTATTTCAACAGCTATTCTGACTACAATCGACATTGATTGCCTGTTTAATGGTGTTGATTTTTCTGCAAAATTTACTCATGCCAAGTTTGAAGAGGTTAACATGGACTTGTTCAAGAAGTGCATAAAGACTGCGAAAACTTGTTTGAAGGATGAAAATATGGACAAGGAGAACATTGATGAAGTAGTTCTTTTTGGTGGATCGACTCGGATCCCCAAGCGGATCATTCCTGATGAGGCTGTTGCCTATGATGCTGGATATCTAGCTACAAACTTGAGTGACCTGAGTGATGAAGTCGTGCGGGGTCTGAAGCTAATTGTTGTTACACCCCTGTCACTTGATGTAAGTTGTAAAAGAGATGTTATGGTTGTGTTAATTCCGAAAAATACACCCATACCAACCAAGAAGGAAGATACGTTATATACAACATAGGACTATCAAACTGCTGGGCTTGTCATGGTCTATCAAGGAGAGAGACTCAGAAGTTCAAAGAACTATTTATTGGGACAACTTAGTCTCTCTGGTCTTCCTTCTGCTCCCAGGGGGGGAATTGAGATCAAGATATGCTATGAGATAGATGACAATAGGATCCTGCATGCCTCAGCTAGGGAATTAACTACCAGCAGGAAC